CTGTTCCAGCATGACTGTGCCCCTGTGCACAAAGCAACGTCCATACAGACATAGTTTGACAAGTTTGGTGTGGAGGAACTCCAGTGGCCTGCACAGAGCCCTGACCTCAACCCCATTGAACACCTTTGGAATGAATTAGAACGCCGATTGCGAGCCAGGCCTTCTCGTCCAACATCACTGCCTGACCTCACAAATGCTCTTTTGGCTGAATGGGCACAAATTCCCACAGACACACTCCAAAATCTTGTGGAAAGCCTTCCCAAAACGAGTGGAGGCTGTTATAGCTGCAGGGGGGGGCAACTCCATATTAATGCCCATGGTTTTGGAATGGGATGTCCAATAAGCTCATATAGGTGTGATGGTTGGCCATATAGTGTGTGTGTGTGTGTGTGTGTGTGTGTGTGTGTGTGTGTGTGTGTATGTATATATATATGTATATATATACTGTATATGTATGGCATAGTCTAATGTAGTTCCTTTAGACTGAGATTACTTAAACTTAACAATCTTAACTAAGTAAAACTTTATTGTGTAAAATTTTATTGCCAATTTAACTTGGTTTGGTTTACAATCAGGGATGACATCTGAGCCATGCCATCTGAACTTATGTGTAGATATAGATTGAAATAGTGAAACACATGCAGACACATACTTCCTTTCTCTGTCTACCCTTCTCACAGCTCTCTTCACCCAGTCCTTCTCTGGATCAGAGCAAATCAGCTTCCCTGTCCTGGTCAGGAACCTGCACAAGGAAAGAATTTTTACGCACTTGGACACATCCTGGGTGATGTTACCAGGCAACCCGGCATTTAATGTTTGCCATTAACTAATGCAGTTACGATGATGATGACCATGTTTGTTATTATATGAAATTGCTATCTGAAATTAAAATGTTGAACATCACTTTAGAGGCATGGCATGCTCACTTGTATTTCCATACTCACACAATGGCATTCACTGGACACACGCCTGCCTTCTGCACTGTGTAGTCCTTTATTCTGTCAGGGGGTAGTCTTATCTCTGAAACTCTCAAACAACATTCTACCGGAAACACATGTGCTGTGAAGAAAAAAATATACATGTAGACCATTTTGTTTAGAGAGACATAAGGGACACTTCATAACAAAGCTTTTTATGACTTATCATTTCCAGGTGCTACATACTTTCTTTAGTGACTATGCACACTTGATCTTTGACATTTGTCTGCATTGAAAATCTTTGACTTTGCGTCAAAGACCACTCTTACTTTCTCCCTCCCCATGAGCCAGGTCCTTCAGATTTCATCACATCCATGCCCAAGGTTAGACTAGGTAGACTAAGCATATTAAATGTAGCGAGCAAAGTAGCTAGTTAACGTCTGACGGTGAGAGATGAAACATGCATTTTAAAAATAAGAGATTCAAGTTGTTGGCTTTGTGCATGCTGTAAATTGTGCATGGTACTCTATTTCTGTCATGTCTCCTCCTCTAGGAGTAGGGGACATCTTTTTCAAACCTATGAATCTTAATGTGTCTGCAGAACACTCTTTATAGTGCCTAGCGATAGCATTGCTGTTGCATATATGGCAACTTTGTATTCTGATATGGGTAGTTTTAGGTTACACATTATTTGCCCAACAGAGATCATGCCACAGGGGCATTTAAGAATGTAGGTGTGCAGAATTACAGTTAATGAAATCTTTAATAATGTATTCTTCACATTTGGATGATTGAATGTTTTGATATTGTAGGTATTTGTAAAATGCATCTTCCACACTGATGGTTACCTAGGACCTGCAGTTTCAGCACACATATTTTCAGCTGTACTGTATTGTACTCTATTGTACTGTATGTAGTCTATATTTTCCACTTTCCCGTTATAGTGCACCTTTATGGGATATTGAATTTTCTCCTTTAGATAAGTGTTTCTATTTAAAAATACATGAATCATCACTGTTAAGGTATCACATGATAAACATCATCATCATCATATCGTAGTAACAATGTAGTAAATATAATTCAAAAGCTGCTCAACATTTTTATTCTTTCTTTCTTGTTTCATTTTATTCTAGAGATCTCTTTTTCAATCACATATATTGTCCAATTCCATTACATTATTGTCAGTTATCACACGCTCTTATCCAGAGCAACTTACATAGGTAACAATTTTAGCCATTTATGCAGCTGGATATTTACTGAGGCAATTGGGGGTTAAGTACATTTACATTTACATTTATTCATTTGGCAGATGCTTTTATCCAAAGGGACGTACAAAAGTGCAAATAGTGAGCAAACAACAGGCACAAGAGCAAGATGTGTACAGGTCATACAATGCAAATAGTGCTGAAGCTGAGCGCAAGGTCAGTGACACGAGCCGAACTAATCTGAACTAGGATTGCATCTCAAATACAATTACAGGAAAAATAGAGTACCGCTATACCACCTAGGTAAGTGAGCAACAAGTACAAGGCAGGAGTCAGATTCTCAACGTCAAAGTTACAAGGTCGAAGAGGCAGAGGTATCAGTCCAGGTAGACCTTGCCCAAGTACCTTGCCCAAGGGTACAGCAGCAGTGCCTCCGCAGGGAATCAAACCAGCAACCTTCGGATTACCAGTCCTGCTCCTTATCACCACACTACGCTGCTGCCTGTTAAGATACATTCTGGTGCTACTGTGCAAAATTACATGCACTGGGGCTGATTCAGATGAAATTCATGTGAATAAAACCTGTTTAAATGGTTCAGTGGAAAGCTGCATACCTTATCAGTCGCAGGTACGCTCACTTCAATTAAAATGGCAGCTCACTAGCAAGGCTGCATTGCATATAGGCTCATTCATAGTAACAATCATATCAGTACAATTGTATAAATGCATTTGCAAATGCATGTATAAATTTGTATAGATGCATTTGCAAATGCAAATTAACATTTATTCACAGCACACAACTTCACACCACCAAGTTTAAGAGATACGGATCCCAAAAACTGGAAAACATCCAACAAGAGAGGCGTGCAAAAAAAAAAAAAACGCTCAGTGTCCTTAAGTCTGAATTTGCCCCTATGTAATTCAATTCAATTCAATCTTATTTGTATAATGCTTTTTGCAAAGGGACTTTGTCACCCTTTGGAATTTGTCTCGTACCGTGGCCACAATTTTGCCAAATAATTACTCAGTTCAATTTATTTCTGTACTGTCTGCATTGCTAAAGGTTAGTACTGATCCACATCTGATGATGATAATAATAGTACTGCTCCTACTGCTACCCCTAGCACTGCTATTATAATACTGCAGTACTAATTCCTGACGGTGTGTAAAGGTGGGTTGCCATGTCTGTGGAGTAGACCATCGAGAGGGAGATACTTACAGGCTGAGACGCAGGCCGTGATTGTGCAAATGAATATGGCAGCAGCGGCCATGGCGACAGCATCAGAGAGCTTCATTCTCCCTGAGCTACAGCAAACCAGGTGCAGCACCGAGCTTCCAACCCTGCACTCTGGGCTTTCAAGGGAGACAAAATGAGACAAACCCTGCCCAACCCTTCCTAACCACAGCTCACTACCACAGCTCGAGGAAGTGAGTGAAAAAGATAAGAAAGTGAGGCCTTTTGGAGGGGGGATTAAGTCCGAGGCTGACACCGGACATTTCTTTTCATGGCAGAGAGATGATGCTACTGATTTTGCCTCTCACAACCAGCTGTCCATTATCCTGCAGTATGTAGATACTGTAGATACAGTCTGGCCCTTTTCCCTCAATAACTCTTACATACAGGAAAAGTTTGTGAGCCATAGTATCAATTCTGTGTGACAACAACATTGTTTGTAATCATAGATGCTACACACAATGAAAACAGACGTAGAAAACAGAGTTTCTATTTGACAGATATATTGAATTTTAATATTTGAATTCACCCCTTTTCACAACCCCGCACAATCAGTCTATCAATGATATTTTGAACCTTTACTTTTTAAACACAGAATAAGGTAATATCCTCTGGATTGCGTGGCAGGCTATCTTAAGATGGTGCTTACAGTGGGGGTTGACACATACAGCCACAGCATATCTGAGACTCTGTCGTAATGAAAAGTGTTCATTGGTCATATGTGCGCGCACACATCCTGACCTGAGGGCCAAACAACACTTACATGTACTAACCGCTAACTCCTTACTGTGGAAACCAATCCGTACGTGTGAAGGTATTTATTGCCTATTTTCTAACAGCTCAGATTGACTCCGGAAATGAAATGTGTTCTTTATTTGCTGAGTATACCATTTTTCTCCTGCTCTGGGAGTGCTGTTAGCCTGGTCTGACACTGTAGATCATTTAACTTGAATGGATGCACTAATGTTCTATTGTGCTGGAAGTCACTCTGAATAAGAGTGTCTGCTAAATGCATGTAATGTAATGTAATGTAATGTAATGTAATGTAATGCAATGTAATGTAATGAGTAATGTGTGCTGCCCTCAGCAGCGCACCATCTACACAGCAGGCCTTAGGCCCAGTGACCTGTAACCTCACACTACACCACACTCGTGCAGTGTGTGCACAGGTCACTGTCCTCTTCACCATTAGCCAATATTATTGCAAGAGAGTTGACACATTACGCTCTCAAAGGGAAGTAACAGTACTGGGTACTTTACCGCTGTTGTCGCGTGTTGCAATCCATCTATTTATTCTGAGATGGGGGAAAACCAACATGCTCCCACATGGGCAAACAGGCTCAGTTATATCAGGATACATAGCCATTGGCTCTAATATATCCACCTGCAGACAATTAGCAGAGCCATTAAGCAATGAGGAGGGGCAATCAGTGAGCCTGTTCAGTCAAAGGCCAGGTATGCACAACACCACAGTAAGCCTCCCACCTCATGCTCTCTCTCTCACACACGCACAACATTACATCATTGGCATTTAGCAGACGCTCTTATCCAAAGACATGGCTTACCGTTTTTAATGTTAGTTGTTTACACAGTTGGATATTTACTGAGGCAGTTCTGGGTTAAGGACTTTGCTCAAGGGTATAGCAGCAGTGCCCTACTGGGGAATTGAACCAGCAACCTTTTGGTTATGAGCCCGGCACCTTACCACTCTGCTACACTACCACCTCTACACACATATGTAGAGTTGTCTATTTAATCATGTTTGTCACTCATTAGTTATGTGTAACCTGTGCACTAAAGCAGTGGATCTGCTCTCTTTTCTCCTCTCAACAGTGCACAATACAATGTGTGTAAAAAAACGCCACTGCTGCAAATGAAAGCAGATACCACCTAACATGACACGATCAACAGGAAGTGACTTCATAAGGGGGAGGTTGTTCATGTGAATGACCACAAAAGCTGGCATTCTTATCTCTGTGCGCTAAACTAATATAAGCCTGGTCAGTCTTAAAAGAGGTTGATTTGGCTATTTTATCTCAGTAATACTATTTCTGGAATAATATCACATCAAACACATTTTGTTTTCTATGAAGAGTTCATAGTCAGATTTCCTTCAAGCAGGCAGAACAACTTACTTCGTATTGTCCCAGTCCTACCCCATATGAATATTATTATATTACTTCTTTATGACCACCTTGCTCAGATCTGTTGCAATTGCAGTCAGTGGATTGAGTGCATATGAGATACTACACTGCTGAGCACTGATGAGGCGAACATTCAACTGCATGCTATAAAGCCAAGTCAGTAGCTGTACTGGGACCTGTTTATCTGTTTGATACACTGTTTCAGTCTGAGGTGTGTGTGTGTGTGTGTGTGTGTGTGTGTGTGTGTGTGTGTGTGTGTGTGTGTGTGTGTGTCGTGCATGTGTGTATGTGTGTGTGTGTGTATACATGTGTGTGCGTGCATGTGCGTGTGTGTGTATACGTATGTGTGTGCATGTGCGTATGCGTGTGTGTGTATACGTGTGTGTGCGTGCATGTGTGTGTGTGCGTGTGTGTGTATACGTGTGTGTGTGCATGTGCGTATGCGTGTGAGTGTATACGTGTGTGTGCGTGCATGTGTGTGTGTGTGTGTGTGTGTATACGTGTGTGTGCATGCATGTGTGCACGTGTGTGTGTGCGCTCTGTTCTGTCATCACACCTTTTTCTATCAAAACACCCACCATTCAGGTCAGGGGGCAGATAGCCCTCTCTCTCTCTCTCTCTCTCTCTCTCTCTGTCTCTTAAAGTGGCCGGCTTCCATTCTGACACTCTGTCATAGTATAAACATACAGGCTATGTGCTAAATCAGTCAATGCAACACGCTTTTCAGCACTCTTGCTTATCAGTGAAAACTGAACACATTGTCTGCAGGACATGCTTCTGTCTAAGAGCAGACATTATGAATAGGAAAGTAACACTTTAACAGGTGATGGAGGGCACTGTCCGGCAGGAAACGCCTTGGTACAAATGCTGTCTTAAATATGATCTGTCTTTGCAAAAGTTTTTAAAATCACTAAACAGGCACAGAAATGCTTTAAAGACACAGAAACGCCATACCACCTTATCCATGTGATCAAGGACATAGGTGAGGAGGACTTTATGATAACAATGATACAGATGTAAAATATTAGATACTGATATGTCAATATAGCAACAGTCTGTTTCATAAATGATGGTGTAGTTATGCAGCTTTTAATACAGGGAGTGTGAGAAATACTTCTGCAGTTTACAAGGAGTCCACCAGAGGGCTTCCTTTCTCTTATAAGCAGTCTTCTAGGGTCGTGCTATTGCTGTATTAGCCTCAATGTATGTTTAGTTGTGCTTGATCGAAACATTCAAGTGTGTTTGCTGAAAGTATATTTCTCAAAGTTAAAAAAGCACTTTCTGTTTGCTGTATGGTTACTTTGCAAAGGTTAAAAGTGGATACAAAATATCATCTAAAAGTTGCAGCCAAAATTGCTACAGGTCTTGTTTTTTGTCAAACTTATAAATTACTATTCTGACTTAAATACCTGACCTCTCAGCCTGAATTGTGGTTCTGTCTAGTTTCCTCTGGAGCTATTTTGGTGTGTGATCTTGGATATTTTCCCTGACAAACACTCTTGCTTTTAAAAAACTTCTTCAAACTCCAATTACATGTGCATTACTATTCCCTGATATACTGAACCTAACTGACATACTGAAGGCCTATCTGCTGCCTGAAGAAGTATTTGAATAGGACATTAAGAAGGCATTAACAAAAAGTAAGACCAATGATATAATTAAGATAAGAGCCAGATACTAGTCGATTTAAATTTAAACCTCACACAGCTATCAGCTCTAATGTTGGTTTAAAATAGTGGGAAGGAGCTATTAAAAATAAACATTTTTCAACTTTTCCTGAATCGAGGTGGAAAAGATGACATAACGCAAATCTCCACAGGGGGTGTAAAAATAGACCGGGACCAAACTACAGTGAGAAAACCCCCTTAAGAGCCTGATGTCTCATGATCCCATGATGTTATCTCAACATTTCTGCTTTAGGATTATTACCTAGTTGCTGTGAGGACACCCTTTTCCCAAGTTTTTTTTTATTATTTCTTTTATTTTACATATTGTTTTATGTATTCCCCATGTACGCTGCTGGGTATTTTAACTGAATCAGTGCAGGGTAAGTTATATACTTTTCTCAAAGGTAACACGACAGTACCCCACCCATGAACCAAACCCAGTTAAAATCCCCGCTCCTTTCATTTTTCTCTGCAGTATTTTATGCGGAATCACGCCAGTGATGTCACAGGCAGTGAGAGATTTCAAAATGCTGCCCGTTTTCATAAGTGATTCATAAAGATGCATGACGTTATGGATTCATGCACACATGATGGTGTCACAAATTAAAGAAGTGACCATGACACAATGATGCTAACTCACTTGTCCAGAGTCCTCCATGCTGCTCTGATGCTCAGAGTTAGGTTTTCCATGCACCATCCCTGCATTTCAGACCCCCCATTTCACAGCTGACCGGCAGTCGATGCCAAAATTAAACTGCATTTCTAGGTTAAACAAGGACCCCCGCCACCCCCTTGACATCTGCGCCTGAACTTCTTATCATTCGCCCAGCTCAGCTGCTGCTTTTGCATGCATCACCTTCTGAGCCTCACGTTAACCATAAGCATCACACCGCGCCTCAGTGTCCTCAGCAGGGCTTTATGTGGTACAGTGTGCTCACATTCATGTTTGGCAGATGCTCTTATCCTGAGAGACGTACGAAGCTGAAGTTACAGAGGAGTAGGTGATAAGGCCAGAGGAACAACAGGACACGCAGATAACATCAGACCACATGTAAGCGTGTATCTATGAGCGACACAGGGTAAGAGCAATAAGCAGTGTCATCATGAATACAGAGCAAGTGCTGCAATGATCAGAAACTCCAGCAACTACTTTTGTCCTGTGGTTGCAAAGTAGAGTGATCTGGTTGGTGTGTAAGGCCTTACTACTTTACTTTACTTACTTTTGTCCTGAGGTTGCAGAGTAGAGTGATCTGGTTGGTGTGTAAGGCCTTTCTAGTGTATAGGTCTGGCTTGTGTGTTAGGTCTGGATGGTGTGTAGGTCTATGTGGTGTGTAGGTCTGGCTTGTGTGTTAGGTCTGGATGGTGTGTAGGTCTATGTGGTGTGTATGTGGTCTGGCTGGTGTGTAGGTCTGGCAGGTTTTTAGGGTCTGGCCAAGCACCAGCACTCTGAATGAGATTCAGAGGACGGATCATACATACAGGGTGCCTTGTGTAGGAGGAAGCTGCTGTAGTCCAGGCAGGAGAGGACCAGGGTCTGTACCAGGAGCCAACCAGAGTCAGAGGCAAGGAAGGGGTAGATTCTTGGGATGCTGTGAAGGATAAGCTCACCAATTATGTGTGCTCTGCAAATGTTAACATTACAGTTGAACTGTACATTTTTGTTGCATGTACATCCTGTGAACAGAGCCTTCGCCTATCCCCAAGGAAACCGGGTTGACTTGAATAAATGTTTCCTAAAATCAGCAATGTGGAATTTTGTTTTATGTGTTGTATTTTAAATGTATGAATGTCAGTGTGCAAGTGTGTTAATCTGAGGATCCCCATTTTCTAGTTTCAGTATTAACAGTAAGAGATCTGTTATCTATCAGCATCATATCTGTATGGTGATGTCATTGCCGTTTTCTGTGAGTGAAAGAAGGCCAGCCATTGGCTAAAGAGCCTCACCTGTCTGCCTATCAGGGATTAAATACCAGTGTCTGAGTGAATTCAATGGGAGCAAAGCTGTGGGCTGAGATGAGCAGCTGGTTTTGCCTGTTATTCTGCTGATGTTGCTTCCTGGTTTGAGTTGATTTTTAAATGTAACCATTTTTGCTTCTTTTGTCTATTTATTATTATTCTTGATATTATTATTATTATTTCCCTTTTTTTAGCAGTGGCACTAGTTTTGTACCCTTGTGGCAAGATACTTAACCCAGAATTGCCTCATTAAATATCCTGTTGTATAAATGGACAAACTGTAAGAATTGTAACTTATGCACGTCGTTCTGGGTAGGAGCGGTTGCTAAGCGAATGAACGTTAATGTAATGTGAGAAGGTAGGAGGTTATTTACTTCAGTCTAGTTATTAACCTTGAGGGGGTTTTCCGCTTCATTTCCTGAAAGTGACCATGAGTAAGTCCCAAATTAAGTCACTTGGCAGCAAGTTTGTGACAATCATTGCTATTATCAGCCTTCTTCTCTCTTCATCATTGCTTCCCACCAACTCTGTTAATAAAGAGATATCACTCATCTCTTTTTTTCAATTAATGCCATAATGAGCACTTAATACAGTCCACATAACCATAACAAAACCATAACAAAAAAGTGTTTTCCACTGATATCTGGATGCTATAATTAAAAAGAGAAAAAAATCCATTGGAATGAACAAAACTACTCCAAGATCAAATAGCAGTGACACAGACTACTCATAAAGATACAAACCTGCTACAAACAGCAGAAATGTTGATTGGCATTAGAAATAACATTCCTAGCAAGTTAAATATAAAAGGTGGCTGACAGCACAACTATGAGTGAATTGGTGTTTTTGTTCACAGTTAGAACAGTGCCAGTAGAATAACTGGTGATAGAAGGCTTTAGTTAATTGTTGAGACATAGACCAGCTCTAAATTATAAAAGGTAGGTCAGGTCAAACA